TCAAGTCTTTTGTTGTTTACAGACAGCTATTGTTTTACTCTGATGCTTTTGCAAATGTCTTCATCTTTAGACAGATTCAGGGAAAGGACTCTAACATTTACTCTGGAATACAGGTTTCTGACAAACTTTCAGATCATAAAATTGAACTGGGTAAGAAATTATAGAACTCTAACAGAAAAACTGATGACTTCATGAAACTGCTAACAGAAGATTAAGATCAAGAATTGATTACACAGGACTGAATGAACTGATGAGGATGATTATAATTTTTATAACTTCATTTGGAATATTACTGATTTTTTCAATGTTTTGTTTTCATATTTAAGGAAAATTTTTTCTCTTTTCTCTTAAGCTGTGACTTATAGCAATTTGGTAAATTATATCTTTGTAAGCAGAATTAAAACTTTTATCTTTTTCTCTCTACTTGATCCCTCCAGAATTTAGAAACTCTTAGTAAGTGAATATTGTTATTTCATGGCAATATAGTTATTTGCATAAGTTCAATAAGAATCTGTTCTTATAACAGGACACAATTGGAAACATTTGTTATATTACCAAAGCTTTGACTGGAATATTATATTTGAGAGAAACATACAAACTCAGATAAGACAAGGCAGCTTCTGAGAGACAAAGATTGGACTTCATGGAATAAAGCCACGTGAAAATATTGGCCTGGTACCTTATGTTCCAAGCAGCACTTACCAGGATAAATAAAGAATGTCACTTATCTGGCAGGTGCAAGGAACCTCAATATTTTGGGCAACGTTGAGAAGAGAGGAATTCACCCAAATACGTAGGTGTTGCAGGCAAAGTCTGATGACAAAATCCTTGGCTTGGCTTTCCTGGCCTCGAGAGACCTTTAAAGTTCAATCTGAGATTCCTTATAAAAAGTTCCAGCAAAGCAGATTTAAAAGAACCTATATGATCAGTTGCTATTCTTGCTGTACTTACGTAAATAATTGGGCCAAATTTATTGAAACTAGAAATTTTACAAACTAGTTAGTCTTAATTTGGCTATCTTTGGTAAAAATGAGGGTGATTTTAGAGAGAAAATTTATTTCAGTGGAAACTATAGTACACATTTGTGGATATTAGATCCTAGTTCTGTTAACTGTCTTTGAGGTTTTTTGTTTTCTACCTATAAACTGGACTGGATCCTGAATTCTTCTAGTCTCCTGAAATATCTGGCTACAAATCTCTGAACTAACATTTTCAATTTTCCCACCATTTTTACTTGGAATCATTGAGAACTGAACCTACACTTTTTCCTGCAGCCCTGCAAACTAAAGATGGATAACTTGATATAAACTTAGATAGATCACGACAATAACATGCCTGCTGCTGTGTAAGCCACTCAAAAGGAAGCTACAAAAGATGTTTCGATGCTGACATCTAGAAATCTTCTTAACTGACTGTCCTCTGAGCTCAAAAACTGGTGTATAATTTGTTCTAACCATTAACCTTGTTTTTCTTTTGTTTCCATAGAAATGCTGCTTATTAAATAACTGATTGCTTGCTTCCACAATATAGGCCTAACTGTGGGAGCCCACCTGCATCACTGCCTTCTAAAATGAACTTAATTGGACTGATCTATTATCAAGACTAAGAAATGTGTTCAATGAGATGGAACAATCTACCAACTCAGCTTCTGGACTGTGAAACTTCTTAGTTTCAAAGGCGGGACTGTGGGGGATCAGAATTGGCCACCTCAAAATATGTCTCTTTACCCTAATTATTTTCTTTTAAAGAAACTTTGACCTCACCTCTCCTCCCCCACTAACTGCCTAAAAGAATTTAACTCTGGGTATGGATAGACTGGCAGGGTCCTTGCTAAGTCCATTCCAAGTAAAAGCAGAAGTTATCCTTTGTAACAGACATTTATATTTATAGGGGAAATCTCCATTTGTAAAGGTATCTCTGTACCAGAAGAAGGGGATGACCTTATCTCTAGAAACTCTTAATAGTACGGAAGGCGAGGACTTAAATCTGCATACTCTTGATTACTGTGTTTTTCTGGTAATCTCCCATACCTGACTCCCCCCCACCCCCAACATCCTCCTTTGTCTACCTGAATATGCTATTTAAGGTGAAAACCTCTGCCATTTGTCGAGATACTCACTCAGTGGGTCTCTCCCATGTATACATGTCATAAAGCTTTGTTTGATTTTCTCCTGCTATTTGGTCTCATGTCAATTTAATTTGTAGCCCAGCCAGAAAGGACCCAGAGTGGGTAGAGGAGAGTCTTCCTCCCCTTTATGGGTAATGAACATATACACACATATTTGTCAAAATTCATTGAACTGCACACTAATAAATCTGAATTTTTGTTAAACGGGGTATATTAGTGTATACACATAGAATATCTCTGTAAGGATATTTTATTATTTATGAAGTCCTTACATAATATTCATTCTATTTCAGATGCTATTCTAAATATTGTACAAATATTAACTTATTGTAGGAGATGCCTTTAGGAAGACAGACTAAGAGACTGAGCGTCTCAGAGTGAAGTGAGACTGAGATTTTCTTCACTGTTTACTCTTTTGTGCTATTTGAATTCCTTTAATCATGTATATATCTTGCTTATTTTAAAAAAAACTTTTTAAAAACTGCTTTTGCTGGGTTTTTTTAATTGCTTTTGCCACATTCCCCAAAGGTCCTCTGATTGACAAATCAGTGTATTCAGTCCTTCTCCTATCTAATCTCTCTGCAGCAGACAACTTCTATCTATTTCTTCAAGGCATCTCTACTCCTCTTTTTTGCAGGTATTCTTTCCTCCTCCTCCTTCCTATATCCCCCAGGCATATTATCTGCTACTGTAATCTTATCACTTACACCTCATATCTATCTCTGGTGTCTTTCCCCTCTCCTCTCTACCACCACTGCCTTAGTCCAGACCCTTGGTATCGTTTATCTGAACAATTCTGCTGATCTCCTAACTGGCCTCCCTCCCTTGACTCTCACCCTGCTCATTCCATTCACTACATTACCTATAGGATGTCTTCTGAAGAATGCAAACCGGATCACGTCACTTTCATGTTCAAATCTTAAATTATTAATTCCTCAAACTCTTTACTTCACATAAAAACAGTGGTCTCAGCCTTTCCTGACTTTCCAGATTCATCTTCATGTTCTCTAGGTTCCAGGACACTATAATTTCTGTTATACACTTAAAGCTCCTCACCCTTAACATTTAATGGTCAGTCCCTTGAGTGCAGGAACAAAGTCTCAGTCACCTTGTTATCTTCAGCTGTACGTGCTTGATATTTAGTGGGTGTGATAGTTAATTTTACGTGTCAACTTGTCTGGGCTACAGTGCCCAGATATTTGGTCAAACATTACTGCAGGTGTTTCTATGATGGTGTTTTTGGAAGAGATTTACATTGAAATCATTGTACTTCTAGTAAAGCAGATTGCTCTCCATAATGTGCATGGGCCTCATCAGTTGAAGGCCTGACTAGAAGAAAAGGCTGACCTCCCCTGCAGCAAGACGGAACTCTCCAGCAGACTGTCATTGGATTCAAACTGCAACTCTTTCCTGAGTCTCCAGCCTGCTGGCCTCCTCATTAGATTTTGGACTAGCCAAGCCTCCACAATTACATGGGCCAATTCCTTAAAATAAGTCTCTGTGTGTGATTTATATATATATACATGTACACGTGTGTGTCTGTGTGTATGTGTATATGTATACATATACACATATGTATATTTGTTTCTTGGAGAACCTTAACTAATAATACAGTGGGTATGCAAAAAATGTTTTTCAAATTAATGAAATTAATGCTGGTTTTTTGTTCTGTTTTGTTTTCACTTAACTTACAATTAAATGTCTATGAAGAAATTAATTTTGACATATTTTTATAAATCACTCACCAGTTTTAAGTCAATATAAATGTGTTAAGTTAAAACAACATATACACAATATAAGAAGTGCAGAAACTTGAACACATGTTAGGTTTCATGTTACAAATACTTTTAAATAGAAGAAAAAGCATTGACTAGCCAGGTTATAAAAACAGAATTGAAATCTTTAGCAATACCACACAGACAAATAATTTTTTAATCACTCAAAATAATTGCCTAGATATGCATAGCTGCCTTAAAAAGAAACATATCTAGATGTTTTTTAATAGATGATTTTGTTTCTACTCTAAACTTCAGAAATGTGTTCCTGCAGAAACTGAAAATACCTCTGAAACAGAATCCTTATGGGAGAAAATGGCATGGAAGAAAGCATATTGTTTTTGATAGAAATAATTATTAAGCCTGTTTTATGAATTTTCACATAAATAAAATGTTTACTAAAAATAATTTCTACATACACATAGACAAAATGATAATTTAATACAAAATGAAATTAAGCCAGTTCCTGCCAAGTCCTGAATTCAGGGTTCTCTGCTCCTTCTGCAACAGAGTAGGTGTTAATGATGTCATTAACTGCTGCAGAAGAAATAGGGGACCATGAAGACAAGTCTTGGCAGAAAATAAACACCCTCTGAGTTTACTTTTCAATTTAAAGTAAATAGAAAAATTAATTTATAGAGTGTCTGTCCAATATAGTTTCTGCCCTAAAGGGATAACCCAGGATCTTTATTTCCAGTGTTTTCAGCTGTATTCCAGAAATAAAGGCTAACAACCTCTGTTCTTAAAAAGCACGAATTAAAACTGTGTCTATATGGCAAAAACTGCTAGTCAATAAGCTAAAAATTGTTCAGCTGGTCTTATATAAAATACATAAAACAATACAACAAATTTTTAGCATTTGCTAATCGTAAGATTATAATTAATATTTCATCTTGACCCCATAGACAGATGTTATTTTGTACATGGAGAATCCATCTCTAAAGATACTGAGTACTGCCTTAGGAAAGTTAAAACTCGACATCTATTTTAACACCAGTTAAGACATTCCTTAGAGTCAAGAAACATTGAAACAGAATTTGTGCATCACTTCTATATTCTGATAGGATAGGACACGTACATGTAAACTTAACTCTCACCTTGTCAAGTTGATCCTGGAGGGTCGTGGATGCTTTATAACCAAGTTGTAACAGCATTGCTTCTGCAGCATTTTTTTTGGCTATCTTTTTATTAGGTCCTGTTCCAGTAGCAACTTCATTGCCTACCTTGACCTGACAAGATTAAAGTAAGAAATTAATGATAATTACTTTGATAAACACGAACTCCTTAACACCATAAAGCAAATGTTCTGCTTTCTAGCATTCAAAAATATAAAGTTTCGTCCATAATAAAAACAGCGATTAAGATAAGATCCCATTTATGTAATACCATATATAAAAATGAAAATATACCTGGAGAAAAATATGGAAATATGGTCCTCAAAATGTCAGTGGGGATTATCTCAGGATGATAGACTCTTAGGAGATTTTTACTTCTTTAAATATTTCTATATGATTTGATTTTTTAAAACAATAAATGCATTATTTATATAAGCAGAAAAATAAAATTCACATCGTAACAGAGTTTATGTTGGTTATGATCATGTTTAGTATTCTTTATTTAAATTAATAAACTGAAAAGGCTAAAACTCATGTTGGTACCATTTAAAATAACGTTCACATTGTATCCCAAGCTTACAAAGGGATGAGAACTAATATACAAGGGTTGGTACAATGTTGTGGTTAAGAATAAAGACTTCCAAGTCAGATTTGGGTATGAAATTCAACTCTACTACTTCCTAGCTATATGAACTGCTTCAAATTCTGTAACATCTATATGCCTCAGGTTTCTCATCAGTAAAAGAGGGGTAATACAACTACCTCGTAGTGTTGCTTTGAAAATTAAACAAGAAAATGGATGTAAACTACGGCGTATAATCAATCGTAACTGCTCAATAAACAGTAGTTTTTTATCATTAGAACTAGTCCACAATTAACTTTTGTGAACAAGTGACGATACATGTATGTATTGTTATACATGTATTTAAATAAACACAGCAATGTTATATCCACATGGACATTTTCTGAGATGGGTAATGCTCTTTTAGAGATGCATGTGCCAAGAGATCATACAAATATAAAAAGTAAATTAGAAAGCAAAAAAGGATAGAATTATAAGGAGAAATAGAAAATACACAACCAGAGTGGGATTTGTTTTTATACATTAGTCTCAGTAAGTGAATGAAGAAACAGATAAGAAGATAATCACACCTTTGGAAATTAAACAATGTAATCTAGATAATCTACGGGCAAAAGAAGATATTTCAATGGAAATTAGAAAATATATTATATTTCCATTATTATTTATTGAAAATATCAAAACTCAAAGGATGCAGCTAAAGAAAGGTCTAGAAGAAAATATATAGCCATAAAAGCTTGGAGAAAGGCAGAAAAGTAACAAGCTAAACATCCATCTCAAGAATTTATTAACAGCAAAATAAATCCAAAGAAAAAAGAACAATAAAGACAAGAGCAGAAATTAAGGAAACAGAAAACAAATTACAACAGAGAAGTTCAAAAAGCCAAAAGTTGGTTCCCTGAAAAGGCTAATAAAATAAGACTGATCAGGAAAAAATAAGAGAAGACACACAGGAGAATGAAAATGGGAGATTACTATAGCTTCTGTAGCATTACGAAACAATAAGGGATATTGAGCATTTTAACTGAAACTTTTTGTATATTTGGATAAAACAGAAAAATTCCTAGATAATACAAATTACCAAAACTGGCACAGAATAAACCCATAACTATATGGGCCTATAACTACTAAAGAAATTAAAGCCATAATTAAAAATTTTTCCACAAATAAAACTCCTGAGAGCTTCTCCAACAAGTTCTACCCAATATTTATGGAAGACTAATGCTAATCTTCAAAAATTCATCCAAGAATAGAAAAAGAAGAATCAGTTTCCACTTATTCAGTGAAGCATCACTTTGATTCCAAACTCCAAGAAGAAAAGTGTAAGAAAGGAAATTTATAGACCAGTTTCACTCATGAACATAAATGCTAAAGTTTAAACCATATAACAGTAAACTGAACAAAGCAATACATAAAAAGAAAAATCAGGACAAAGTTAGGTTTATTCTAGAAATGCAAGGTTGGTCTAACATTTGAAACTCAAACAAAATCAATCAAAGGAAACTGCTATATTAATAGGTTGAGGAGACAAACCATATGGTCATCCTAACAGATGGAGCAAAAGCATTTGATAAAACTCAACATCCATTAATAATAAAAATTCTTGGGGCCGGCCCAGTGGCGTAGCGGTTAAGTGTGCGCGCTCTGCTGCTGGCAGCCCGGGTTCGGATCCCGGGTGCGCACCAAGGCACCACTTGTCAAGCCATGCTGTGGCGGCATCCCATATAAAGTGGAGGAAGCTGGGCACAGATGTTAGCCCAGGGCCAGTCTTCCTCAGCAAAAAGAAGAGGATTGGCATGGATGTTAGCTCAGGGTTGATCTTCCTCACAAAAAAAATAAATAAATAAAAATAAACAAAAATTCTAGGGAAAGAAGGAAACTTCCATAATATAATAAAGAGCATTTTACAAAAAACCTACAGCAAACCTCAGCAAATATTATATTTAATTTTGAAATTAGAAACAAGACAAGGACGCCCTTTACTTTCACTAGTATTTAACATTTTACTAGAAATCCTGGACAGAGCAATAAGGCAAGAAAAAGAAAAGGTATAAGAATTAGAAGTGTAAAAACAAATTTGTTATCTGAAGATATGATATTTATATAGGAAATCCAAGAAAATCTATAGATAAATTATAAGAATTTATGACAATATAGTAAGTTCTCTGTATAAAAGGTCATATACAAAAGCCAACTGCATTTGGATATCTCATTGACAATCAAGTAGAAAATGAAAAATATTAAAAGATACCATTTACATTAAATGAAAATCAAATACCTATGATGTTTAAGACCTTTATACAGAAAACAATAAGCATTATTGAGAAAAATTAAGATAAACTTAATAAATAGAGATATGCCATACTCATGTATAGAAGACTCAATATTATAATAATATCAATTCTCTTCAAGTTGACCTATAAAATTCAATGACATCCAATCAACATCCCACATATATTTTTACAATACTTCAAAAGCTGATCCCAAAATTTACATGGAAATGCATTAAGTGCTAAGAACAATCAAGATCCTTCTGAGGAAGAACAAGGTGGGGACATTCTTCTTCTGGATGTTTAGACTTATTATAAAGTTAACATAAGGGAAAACACAGGTAAATCTGACTGCATTAAAATTTATTACTCCTGTTCCTCCAAAAGCAACATTAAAAAAGGAAAGACACAACAAAAGATATTTGAAATGCCACATAACTGCAAAAGGCTCACATTCCAGAATATATAGTGGATTCCTATAAATCAATCTTTTTGTGTGTGTGTGAGGAAGATTAGCCCTGAGCTAACATCTGTTGCCAATCCTCCTCTTTTTGCTGAGGAAGCTTGGCCCTGGGCTAACATTCGTGCCCATCTTCCTCTACTTTATATGTGGGACGCCTGCCACAGCACAGCTTGATAAGCGGTGCGTAGGTCTGCGCTGGGGATCTGAACCTGCAAACCTCGGGCCACCGAAGCACAGCACGTGAACTTAACCACTATGCCACCAGGCCGGCTGCCTATAAATCAATTTTTTAATACTTCTATCCATATTTTTCTTTTTGGCTATTGTGTGAAATCATAACATTGGCTATTTCACTTGTCTCAGAACATACAGGTTCCCATCTGGTATTCACACCTGTATACTGTTTGCCATTTATTCTTATGCCATTATTTAGAGTTTTATTTGTGTTACTATTTCCATCACTACTTTTAAGCTTTTTTGAACCAACTACCTTTAAGGAACTAGGGATATACAACACAGTGGTAAAAAAACAAACAACAACAAATATAAACAACACGCAAATTACAAGACAAAGAAATTCCACTTTTAACAGAATCTTAGCCAAGATGAGCTAAATGACATAGTTCCTGTAGTATATGAAATATTGAAAATGTATTATTATAGAATTTCTGTAACAATTATCACAAATCTTATAGTTCACACCTGTGCAATGTTTTTGTAACATTTCATTGCTTTTTCTTCTGAAACCACAAACCACCACATTATGACAAATCAGCAGTAGTCTATGGACCTCACGCAGGAGCACTGTTCATGGCAGATCCTGGGAGCTGGGTAAACACAGACCACCTCCCCTACCTGTGTTGCCTGCACCTGACCTGAACACAAGGGGCCCTGTGTGTAATGTGCCTGAGTCCCCGGCTAGAGCCGACCTCTGCTACCTGTTATTTTTTCCAGTGCTTGGTTTGTTCCCCAGCTTCACCAGCCCTTGTGTTGTTGCTGGAATGCTTACTAGCTAAAAGATGAGGCCAGCTACGTCAGAAGCTTCCTCTACAGCTCCGAGGGTCAAAAGACTTGCCAAAGTAAATGAAAGCAAAAGATCACTGAGCAGCAAAAAATGTTTCATCTGTTTTTACATGCTATATACACCTCACTCACTCTTATTCAATTCTTCTGTTGTTACATCCCTAAATCTCATTTATCCACCCAGGCCTGATGTCCTTTGGCTCCAGGCTCCTGCTCTAGGGTAATGCTGTTCCCTCTTGGCATTCACCTTCGACCTGTGTCTGCCAGGTTTCCATCTGACCTGTTCTGATACCTTCAAGACTTACTTTTAGAACGGATGCTTCCAGATTCATTTTTCCCATTCACCCACCCTTTGCCTCACAGAAGTTTTTATAGTTGCATGGTTCAACAGTTTGTGAGTAGTTATCCCAGACTTATCTGTTAGTACCTAACAAGACCACTGTGCTGAAGGAGTCTGAGTCCCTAACACAATGGTCACTCAAAAAAAAAAAAAAAACTCTCTTCATTATAAAAGTCAAGTAAGTATGTAACAAACTTCCTAAGTCATCTTCCTAGAAAGCTCACAAATTTTATAACTATTATAAATAAGATTTTTACATTAAAATGTTAACTTGTCTGCAGAGAAGCTCAATTATTTTGCTACGCAATAAATTTAAGACTGCCAGATTTCTGTCTTTAAACAAATCATTTAAATGAATCAAGTCCTCAAACAACTAACAAAAAAGTTCTAAAGTAGCATTTACCAAAAACTTAACTCATTATCTTTCACTGAGTCACAAATAAAATTGATGAAATTTGCTTGATATATTTTTTAAAAACGTGAGGATCTTAACCACAGGTAGAAAAATTAACATCCTATGATATGTAGTAATAGAATGCACTGATATACAATTTAGTTTAGTTATCATTATTTTCTCTTTGAAAAATTAAAATACTCCTCTCCAAAAAAATAAAAAGCCTTAAGAAATTTGCTCTGGAACTAAACATCCAAATACTGCCATCAGAGATTTTCTTGTATCTCGTAACCAATATAAGTAACTGCACCAATTTATTAACATACGCACTTACTCTTTTTTTTTTTTTGGTGATAGATAAATATGAGCATATTATCTCTATATATTTTACTTCCACATTCAATTACAACAAATGATAACACTGCTTAAGCAGTTTATACAAACGTCTTTACTTTGACAAAGTTGCTCCAATACTGTAATGAATCCACCGGGGCTTCCAGAAGGGAGAAAAAACAATATGAATTCAGTGTGAAAACATTTAAAAGCACAGCCAAATGTTTCTGTTTGACAAGAATGTTTATGAATACCCATAAAATGGAAGCTGGCCTAAGATATTCTAAATTCCTCTTTCAAAAGGGGTACTCAATATACTCCATAGAAAAGGAATTGTTTAATAAAGTTAAAGCCAGTTTTTATTCTGAACGCACCTAAAATTTAGGTGATTTTTTTCCATTCAAGCTTTGGAGTTCAAAGAATGCTTGCTAGAATTCTTCAAAGCTAAGAATGTAAAAAGAAAAACGGTGCGCATATTTTACAAAGTGAAAATACCAGAACAACACTGTTCTGGGTCCTAAGGACATCTAGACAATAATGTGTTTACTAACCACAGAAGAATTCCCTGCTCTTTGGATATCTAGGTTCATAATCGTGGTGTATCTCTGAGTACATCGTAAGTTCACATTTCCAACACAAGCCAGACATACTAGCTCTCAATCAGGCAGGAAAGCAGCAAACATACATCAAAGATTTACTAAGGTCCTACTATACCCATACCACTGTATTGGGTACTGTGAGATGAGATAAAGAAACATGGAGATTATAAACTAGGAAGGAAGGTAACATTCAGATATGCATGAGAAGTTAATCAACCTGAGATACTATGTTTGAGTGCCAAAACGTCTGCCACTTGGTCAGCATTTAATAAATATCTGTTGATTTTAACTGGATTATATTAAAGGTGAGATCCATAAGTTTGATTGGAAAAAGTTGCTTTGATAACCCAATTACAACAAAAAGAGTTTTGGAACAATAAGGAGAATTTAAATATAGACTGGGTATTACATGATTCTCATGAATCATGACTAAAGTAAGAAAATATAAGAAAAACTCCCATACTTTTTAGAGACACGCACTAAGTATGTAGGCTGAAATGACATGTGGTTAGAAATTAGCTTTGAAATATTTTAGGAAAAGAAGGTGGAAGGAAGGAAAGGAGGGAGGTAGAAGAGAAAAATTGATAGGTGAGACAGGTGTGGCAAAAATCTTAATTGTTTGTGTTCAGATGCTGGGCATATTCCCCATTATACCATTCCATGATACTATTCTCTATAGTAAACTATTAAATATATCCAGCTTTGAATATGTTTGAAATTTTCGTGAAGACGGATAGGTCAGATTTAGAAAGAAGGAGGGCACTTGAGGGTTCTGCTTCATTCCCAGTCCCCACTTATCAGCCAACACGCTAGCAACCATTCTTCGGTTTTCTTGGCTGCACAACGCAACAGCTAAATCTCTCAGCAATTCTGAGTCCTCACCAGTTAGGTAGCAGGCTAGCTTTGTTTTCCTAATTTTCCTGATAACCAAAAGCTCATGCTCTTGGCCCCGTTCCATCTACGACGTCCATCCTTCTAAATTTTGTTTCTAATTCCAGCTGTCTCCTATTCCCAGTAGTTAATAGACTCCGGTTGCAAATTCTAACATGATAAATTAGAAACAAGCATTCTAAATGATAAACTCTGCGGCAAATAACCTGTGTGAACACACAGTCCCTTCAAAAACTAATACTATTTGTTCTAACACGTCCTTGACACTTGAATGTTTCAACCAAGTTGGTAGGTGGGCCTGTAGGGAATGAGCATTTTATTTATTTATTGTTTTTTTGGTGAGGAGATCAGACCTGTACTAACATCTGCCAATCCTCCTCTTTTTCTTTTTTTTTTTTTTTTTTTTTTGCTGAGGAAGACTGGCCCTGGGCTAACATCCATGCCCATCTTACTCCACTTTATATGGGATGCCGCCACAGCATGGCTTGTCAAACAGCACGACAGTGCATGCCCGGGATCTGAACTGCCGAACCCCGGGCCACCGCAGAGGAGCGCGCACACTTAAAATTAACCACTTGTACCACCAGGCCGGCCCCAGGAAATGAGCATTTTAAGTATAAACAGTTTTACTTTCTGCTATTAATTCCTAGTTTGTCTTTCCCCCATATCTCTACTCCAACCTGAGGATTTCTAAATTTTTTCAGTTTCAAAAAAAAATTCTTCTAATCCACAAGTTAGAGATACCTGCATCACAAATTCCCGACGTCGAGGCATTCCTCTCTCTGAAAGCAAAACGTAATCTGGCTCCTTCTCCTTTTTGGCCTGTTGAATTTGAGCCAGGCGGCTAATGGGGTTCATTCCTTGACCATATTCTGGTCCAGCCTAAAAAATAATTTAAGAAAAAATTTCAAAACATGCTTGGAAAACTTGTTATTGGATCCTTAAAGAAACTGCACCCAAAACTGTGACTAAAGAAGATAATGAAAGTCACTAATGAAGATTTACAACAGAAAATCATAAAATGGATCTGAAACTAAGGCTTCTATAGGATTTAGGGCTCAGAGGTATTATCAATAGGTGGAATCAACTCTGCTTTTAAACTCTTCAATAAGGTAGAGTTGCTTTACAACTTCTATTTATCAAAAAACACCAAAAAGAACATAAGAAGACAAGCCATGAACTGGGAAGAGATATTTGCAATAAATATAACTAAAAAAAGATATATGTGGCATCCAAAATGTATTTTTAAAATCTCCTAAAAAGTATTAAGAAAAAGACAATCTAAATGAAAAATGGGGGCCGGCCCCATGGCCTAGTGGTTAAGTTCGGCACACTCCGCTTCAGCAGCCCAGGTTCGGTTCCTGGGCGTGGACCTACACCACTCGTCAGCAGCCATGCTGTGGCAGTGGCCCACGTGCAAAATAGAGGAAGATTGGCACAGATGTTAGCTCAGGGCGAATCCTCCTCAAGCAAAAAGAGGAAGACTGGCAACAGATCATAGCTCAGGGCCAATCTTCCTCACCAAAAAAAAAAAAAGAAAGAAAGAAAGAAAAAGAAAAATGGGCAAAAGATATGAACAGATATTTAATAAAAGGAAAAAACACAAAAAGATAATCAATCTCATTAAGACTCAGAAAATGCATATTAAAACCACAGTGAGACTATTTCACACCCATCAATTCAGCAAAAATTAAGAAGTCTGATAGCCCCAGTTGGTGAGGACGGGGAGTAATAAAAACATATATGGTGCTGTCAGTAATATAAATTAGAAAACAACTTGGCAATGTCTAGTAAAGCCAAAGACGGTACATCCACTCCCAGTAGCCTATCATAGCCATGGATATCCCCTAGAAAACTATTACCAATATGTGCCAGCTCATAATCTCCATAGCTGCACTATTTGAAATAGCAAAAAAATGGAAACAACCTAAACATTCATCAATAGAAGAACATAAATTATGGCATGTTCATACACTGGAATGGCATATAGCAGTAAAGATGAATTAAGTATTTCTACATGCATCCAGATGAATGAATTTCAGGAAAAAAAAGTTAAGTGAGAAAAGCAGGCACAGAAGCATACATATAGTATGATATAATTTATGCAAACCCAGTAAAACTACAAAGTCTGCTGAAATTAAATAAGATCTCAATAAATGGGCAAACATGTTCATGGATCAGAAGACTCAATATTCTTAAAATGTCAATTCTCCTCAAACTGATCTATCAGTTCATTGCAATCTCAATCAAAGCTTTTTTTATGTGTAATAATTCATAAGCCTATACTAAAATTCATATGGAAATGCAAAGGACAAATAACTAAAACAACTTTGGAAAAAAAACAAAGTTGGAGGACTCAGACTATCTGATTTCAAGATTTATTATAAAGCTATGGTAATCAAGACACCATGTGTAGCACTGGCAAAAAGATAGACAAAGAGATCAATGAAACAGAACAGTGTCTAGAAATAGATGCACACATATATACATATATGGTCAAACAATTTTCGACAAAGGTGCAAAAGCAATTCAGTGGAGAAAGGGTAGTCTTTTCAACCAATGGTACTGGAACAACTGGATGTTCACATGCAAAAAAACCCTCAGTCCATACCATTTGTAAAAACTAACTCAAAATGGCTCATAGACTTAACTGTAATATCTAAAACTATAAAACTTCCAGAAGAAAATGTAAGGGAAATTTTTGGGACTTGGTTAGGTGACAATTTCTTAGATACAACACCAAAATCATATTCCATAAAAATACTACTACTACTACTACTAATAATAATAAATTGGGACTTCTTCAAAATTAATAACTTCTGTTCTTTTAAAAGGACAAGTCACAGGCTTGGAGAAAATATTTATAAACCACATATCTGATAAAGAACTTGTATACAGAATGTATAAAGATCTCTCAAAATCCAATAATAAATTTGTTATTATTTAAAATTTATTATAACATTATTATTTGAATTATTACTTAAAATTTTTTAGGTGGGCAAAAGATTTGAACAACACTTCATCAAGCTTCACATGCTACTAAACAGATAAAATCGCTCAATATCATTAGCCACTGGATAAATGTGAATTAAAATCACAATGAGATATCAATCCATATGTATTTGAACAACAAAAATTTACAACTACACTACATGTTAGGAAGGATGTGCAGCAACTAGAATTCTCACACACGACTGATGAGAATGTAAAACGGCACAATTACTTTGAAAAACAATTGGGAGGTTCTCAAAATGTTGGATATATACCTACTAAATGACCAAGCCATTCCACTCCTATTCACCCAAGAGAAATGAAAGTATATGCCCATAAGACTTATATATAAATGTTCATAGCAGCTTTATTTGTAACAGCCCAAAACTAGAAAGATCCCAAATACCCACCAAAGGGAGATAAACAAATGGTGGTATATCCACACAATGGAATAGTACTTAGCAATAAAATAGAACCAACAATTGATACGTGCAACAACATGGATGAATCTCAAAATGATTATGCTGAGTCAAAGAAGCCAGCCAAAAAAAAAGGGTGGTTGCTTGGGAAGTGAGGGTGGGGGGACTACAAAAGGGCATGAGGAAACTTTTGGAAGCAATGGATAGGTTCATTATCTTGATTGTGGTCATGGTTTCACAGTGTATCCATATATCAAAACATATCAAATAGTACACTTTAAATATGTACAGTTCACTGTATGTCAATTATACCTCAATAAAGCTGTTTTAAAAATTAACCAAACACCACTTTTCAGAAAAACATGTAGTAAAACTGTAAGGTAAGGAAATGTTAAACACAAAACTAATGATGGTGGCTACCTACAGGAGGTGGTATCAGGATGCTACAGAAGACGGGCATACAGACTGCTTCAACCTTATTGAGAAATGTTCTATATTCAAGTTGGGTTGTGGGTCTTAGTTACTTTTTACTTCGTATGCTTTTTAACTTACATACAAGTTCTATATAAACCTTTCAGAAGCCACTCTTTATTTTTAACTTTATATGGGGTAATGTTTACGATAAAGCTTGATTTATCTTTACGTATAGCTTTTTTTTAGCGCCTTCTAAAAGGTTTGAAAACAAAAAACCTTGGCAAATCAAATATTCTTTCTGCATGTGAACTAATTTTCTTCACGTATTATTCCTAGAAATGAAGGTCTGCATGTATCATATGATCGGAACTTTATTTCCACCTGTGAAAATTTATTCTAAAACAGATATTAGAGACATGGATAATCATGATGTTACAGATTATATATGTTACACTAAACTTACTTATGTAAGAGCCACTGTATATAGTCTTAGCTCTTCCTGAGAACTGCTGAGTCTCAACCATACCTAGTTTGGTGTTGCAGGAACAGCCTCCAGCTCAGACCCTGCAGGGTCTTTTAAATTATGTTTAGGATTTTGGACTTTATCCAAAGAACAATGGGAAATTACTAAAAGATTTTAAGCAGAGACATAACACGATCTGATTGGTGTCTTTAAAAGATAACACTTTTAAAAAGATCATTTGATGTCAAGAGTACTTGTAGAAGGCCAATTAAAAACCTACTGTAGCAAGTTCAGGCAAGAGACAATTGTGAGCTGGACCAAAAGGGTGGCAGAGAGATGGAAAGAAAGGCGCCAACTTAAGAAATATTTAAGTGATGGGATTAGTAGGACTTAATGATTGATAGGATATAAGGAGTAAGAGAGAAGCTAAAAATGACTCCCAGGTTTCTGTTTCAGCAGGTGGATGGTGGTGCCAGCCACTGTGGTAAGGTATGCTGGAGGAGAAAGAGGTTTTGAAGGGAACTTGATGAGTTTTGGACAGAGTTTGAAGTGCCTATGAAACATTAAGTGAAGATGTCCTATAGGCAGCGTAGAGCACAGAAGAGTATTTGGGAATCATCCACATAAAGACTGAATTGAAGCCCCAGAAGTATGAAGAGCAGCCTAGGGCAAGAGTAAGAGAGGAAAAAGATTGAGAACTTCAATATTGGAAAAGTTAGGTGGAAGGAGAGGAGAGAGAAGAGAAAATTTTAGCTTTTGACAAAATAGTGGTTTCACTTCTACTTACATACCCAAAAATGAAAACTAAGTAAATTATAAAGAAAGTAAAGAAGGACTGATGAGAAAAGACAAATACAGACAATAACTTTTAAGTCTAAGATTGAGATACCAATGAAAAGGTAAAGGGAAGCTCCAAATAAATATATACTTCCAATGGTGTGCTGTCTTTATTTCTGTTTAATTTGCCTCTTTTATAAGAATGTCTGTCAGTTCCAAAGACACTGTTGTTGATATGAATTCCAAGGACAAAGAACCAGATGCATGAATCCAATTAGGTAATAACAGAGTTCTGAGAACATTAAGAATGGCTGGTTTCTTCCCTTGATTGAAATTAACTGCTAGCACACTTGATAATTAAGTTATTCTTTGGCTATCAAGTCTTAGATTATCACTCTATGCCAAGCTGATCCATTCACTGGCCCACTACAAGGTATGATCGTGCTTAAAATTATCTAGATTCCAACTCATTGTATGCATGCTGCTTTCTCAAAATAACCTTACATTTCAGAGGATCTCAATAGGCTTTATTTTAACATAAGACAGACATGGTATAAGTAATTCCAAGTGTGATGTATGTGAGGAAAAATGCAGGGGGCTAACCTAATCTGGGAGTGGGAGAGGATCAGAGAAGACTTCCCTGAAGAAGTTTAAGCTGAGATCTGAATGGTAGATAGGAAGAAAGTTCTAGAATAAGATACTTATAAACTAGAAGTAGTAGCAAATAATTCTGAGAATTCAATATGTTTCTCCCTGCTCTGGGGAATAACATTTAAACAATAATCTTGCTTTTAATGGCTATAGTTAAAAGCAACCAGAGTCCTATTTATATCCTACTATAAAAATATATACATCTTTTCTAGCCTAATGGCTTATGACTCTTAATTTATTAAGATTAGATTTAGTTTAACAGATTAGATGGAGGTTATTGTGACCAGTTTTGTGCTACCATTCTGATGTGGAGCACTTTCAGTTCTTTCATCAGGAGAAGCTATAGATTTTCTATATAAAAAGATTTAAGCAAACAGACCATGGATGTACATTCATGTACATATAAAATGTGGACAGAATTAGGTACAAAATAACAACAGTTAAAATTTATTGAGTACTGATTATTTGTATTGTTAATATTTAATAATAATTACTAATGCATTTTGTGTATTATTTCAGTTAATACTTATAATAATACTGCAAAGCAAGTTCAATTATTATTCCTACTCTATAAATGAAGAAACGTAAGATTAAAAAGTTAGGTAACTCGCTCAGGTCACAGGGATTCACACTCAAAATTGACTCCAAAGGTCACGTTCCTGACACCACATCCCATTCCCTCACTGTGTGGTTGGAGCATATGAACGAGAGCCAGCCCTCCTCGGACCACTGTGGCTCACGAGGAGTTGATCTATTTGGCATTTATTTTCAGTCTACCTTACATACACTGTAGAACACTATTTCAAGGAATGCATTACCTACATCTTCTCAGTGAAGTAATGACACTATTCATTAGAAAGAACAAGTTATTTACGTAGTTATTTATATAGTTATCTATCTATATAAATATGTGTGCATGTATTTTTCAATAAAGCAAAGGTACAAGGTATACAACCTATAGAAACACCTCAATTGTGCCACTGCACAATCTAAACAAAAGAAATTCATCAATAAAATGGACTGCATCTCTGTAATCCCTGATTTGTAGAGCCTAATGAAAAGAAGTCTGCTAAATATGTGAGGCAGAACTGGCAACCACTATGCTGGCAACTGAAGGCCTTCTCTGGAGACAGAACTCTCGCCCCACTCCCATCACACATATCGAGCACTCGTGGGCACTGTCCTGTACTAAGTGCTGATGCGTCTCAGTCCTCTGACTTTTGCCTTTTCTTTGTTAATGTACATAAAATCTGACCCAGTGAGAAAGAGTCACAACATGTTGAAAAGCTGTGTGCTCTGTATTCTTCTTTGGCGAGGTATACACGCCTGAAAGAATGGAAACAAAACAGTACTGTTACCCTCACAGGGCTGCTGTGAGGATTAAATGGGACAAAGTACGCAAAGTGCGGGGACAGATTCCGGCACAGAGTGCTTTCTACACACTCGCTGGTGCTGCTGCTGTCGTCGCTGTTAGCGTCATTCATGATTATTACTCTGTATCCTGTTACCACTTCATGATATCCTAAGAAGTGCCCATATAGCAGGGTGGTGTGCAGACAGAACACTGGATTAGAGATCAGAGTAGTTCGGGTTGCTCCATATGATAGGTGAATAAAAGGGAGCAAATTCTTTGAAGATGTTTTGAAAAATCTTTTTGTAAAATGAGGAATAATTCATCCACCTTATACAGGCATGATGAGAATTATGCTAAAGGTGATGACGAATGGGAAAGTATTTTTTAAACCATAAAAAACTATAAATATGTAAGGTATGTGATGAAAAATGCAGGTATACAAATGTCTAAAAAGCAAAACAGAATTGTTATTAATTTATAGTCACATGCCCAATCCTGATTCTGGGACTGTATATAATCCACAGGTTTAGGTACTGACCTATGGAAAAACTTTTATATTTATATCGTAAAACTGAGTAATGTTCACAAGCATACACTTACCTTTACTATTGTTTTAGGGCGTTTTTTAAAAAACAGTTTTGGTTTTTCAACCACAGGAAGAGGCGGGAGTTTCTTAAGCTCCTGTAAGACGGTGGTTGCAGCACGTTTCTTGGAGAGTTTTTTGCTGTTTCCCTCTCCTTCTGCAGAGAACTCTCCCACTGACACCCGAGTAACAAAGCTTTTCATATGTGGTGGTCCACTTTCTTTAATAACCTATTAAACATGAGTAAAATATTTAATATAGGCACTTAAGATGCATACTTATAGCATGTATCTTTCTTAATGTTCATATCATAATCAAAACTATTAAGAATTATTCCAAAATTACAGATTTCTTTAATAAAACTATTATGAAGGTATTATATAGGGACTATACATTTACGATACTTATGATGCTTAATGAACTAAAGTTGAAAGAACGGAAATCTAAATAAATACATTCAATTCACAGTCAAAATTGTGCTTTACCATCTCAAAACAGGCAATTCTAATTAAGGTTACCCTGTTTCTTATGGAACAAAAATTAAGAACATATATCATATTAGAGTAGGTACACAGGCCATCCAGAATGATAATTTGTATATAACTGTGCACACATCTAATTTTCTGCTCAGTAGGAGTAAGTTGCTGGAGTACAAGGACTACGTCTTATTGGAGTGATACAGGCCATAAAGCATCCCGCATGTGGAAGCCTCTCCAAAACAGCCGATGGGTGAAAAATAGCCTATTTTTGATAGAGACCTCAAAGGTTGTTTTATAGAAAGGAATGTTTATTCTCTGTGACATGATCTTAAAAAGGTAAGTAGATAGGCCATAAAAATACCTGCCTTCTAGAGTAATGGATTATGAATCCGTCAGCTATGAAAGCTCCTAAACCCTGTATTAATGTGCTCTTTTAAACTATGCCAGCTTTTGGAGGAAAGATGTCTTCCAAAGCCTGAGTGCTCAAAACTTCAGTCTCCTTCAAAACTCTGACCTATAAAAGATACCCTATTTAGTTCAATAGTTTACCATTTAACATTATATGAAAATTTTATCTTCTAATACTGGATACAAATTAGGAAAAGAAAAGAAAAACAACACAATATCTCAATAATCCAACATTATTGGGTATAAGGAATTTATGATAAGCATATTTGCCAGGTAATTTAAGTTTACTAGTTGCAACATCAAAACTGTTTATTTTAAACACTTTGATGGACATCCCGTCAATTAAAAATTTTTAAAAAGTATATATACTTTACTGACTTAGAGAATACTAAATATTTAACCTTTTACTGCTTACATTAAATCATCATCATGAACAGCAAATATTCTATTCTATAACATATTGATGCCTACAGGAACTTCTAAGACTTATAAAACTGTTCCTATTCATTGTAGCCTTTAAAAGGCCCCATGTTCCAGTCATTTTTGAGAGTATACAAGTAGTTTTGATAAGTTTTCCATATTTTCCCTACCATTTCTTGCTGGAACCAATAGGCCCTCAAGTACATTCTCTCCCTGCCTTCCTCATTTTGCTGCTTTTAATCTGCTATGGGCTGAGAAATCAGATAACCCAACTTGTTAGAACTGTGTCTAAGAAGAAAGCACACAGGTTCTCAGTCGAGGTCAGTCGATCCTGACAGTGAGTAAAATGTGGGAGCTTTCTACTAGGTGAACGTCACACCATTTGAAGGAGGACACTCCACGACTGTTTCAGCTCATTTCCTGGGTTTTGCCTATTTTCTAGATATTTGAGTTGCAAAATTAGTGACCTCTTAATCAAGGAGGTATTATAATAATTAAAATTTTTTTTCTCTTTTAAATTTCACATAATTTTATAAATAATTTGTGAGCTGCTTAATCACTTCTTAGTGACTTACTAGTAAAGCTTGAATTTAAACATGTTTTGGCCCCCACAAATTTAGAAAAAATTGAATATTAATATATGTGTCATTAAATATTAACTTGAATATTTTCTATTTGATCCTATTAGAAACACCAAACCTTATAGGGTACTACAAATTATCTTACACTCAGAAAATAAACTGTATGATGAAAATTAAAATATCATATATATATATAAAAGGCTTAATACGGTAAAGCCAAACAGATCAGCAGGAATCCATGAAATCATAATGAGTTCTATTTTCCCCAGGGCCTATATCATTTCATGATAGAGATTCTGAACATAAGGAAGCACATTAACTCTTTCAGGATACTAGTATGCTGATTAACTGTATTTATTTGTTTGTTTATTTAAAATAATGAGGAGCAGGGGGAAAAACTAAAGATCTCTACTAAGCACATACCTCAAAACTGACGGGCATATTTCGCTTCAGAGCAATTTCAAACACTAAGCTGATCTCAGATTTATTTGCATCTTTGTCATCATCCATTTCTTTTCCTGATTCGCCATTCTAAATCACAAAAAATAAGATGACACTGAATCTTCATTTGTTAACAAATTTTACATATACTCTACAATCAAGAGGGCCTATCTAAAACACAATGAAAAACAGGAAACCAGAGACCGTGTCTTGCACATTCCTATGTAACCACAGTAGTCCAGGGCCTTGCTATGAGGCTTTTTGTGATTTGGCTTTTAGTTTTTTCCCTTAAAGTATAAGGATGAATGCTGAGTGTGGAAATGTTTTACTCAACTATACACTAATCTGAGTTTATCCTACATCCCCAGAGCCAGTTCTCTTTAGAGATCTCCATCCTCCCACTTCCCCTACACACACAATACCTCCACTGGTGTTCTAATATGATCTTTAACCTTCTATGAAGACTAAGTTGTAGAAAGTGTACAAGATGCAAACCAGGATTTTGGAGCTCTGTGTCTGGCTCTGGTACTAATTCATTTATTCATTTATTTAACACATACTTGGAGGGCCTCATACACGCTGAACACAGTGTAAGTATTAGAGATAAAGAGATCAAGAGACAGTATTCCTGCTGTCAAGAAGCTTATGACTTAGTGGGAAAACAGATAAGCAAGCAGATAAGAATTTCATAATGGAAATTTACAGGGGGAAAAATGACTAAGTCTGCCATTAACTAAGATAAATCTCAAAGGGGGATGAACAACAGGTTTGAGGGAAGGGGAACCGTAGAGGTTGCACTGTACAGTCTGAAATAATTACATGGAGAACTCAATAGGCAGGTGACTTATAAGACGTGCCTGAGCTAGAGGTACCATTTTGAAGTCCATCACGAAAGTAGATGACGCCATGAGAATGGGTGAAATTACCCAAGATTAGCATCAATATCTTGTAAAATAAAGTAGGACTGAAAACTCCATAAAGATCTCCTCCACGTTAAATTCCCTGATTCTAGATTAATACAATGTAATCCATGCTCAATAAATGTCGCATCACATGCAAGGTAAATGAACGTTATTTCTCATCCTTGCTCACATCCCCCAAATTCCACGCTGCCTGGGAAGTGAACTCCATAGGTGAACTAAGGTTCTCCAAGGTAAGGTCACCCCGGCAGGAGCACACGGGTCTAGCATAGTAGACAGGTAATGTGAGAAGCAAATCATAGCAGATCACCACTCTAGTATTCTTTCCGATCAGAAGAGCTTATTTCTTTTATTTGTAAAAATGCATTTAACTGTCTTCTCACTTAATCTCACTGGGGAACTATAAGAGACCGTCACACACAGCAGTCCCACACCTGAGGAGATTTTTCTGGAATAGGTTCATTCTGCAGTGCCTGAAGGGCTTTCATTGCAGCATTGTGTCTAGCAGCTTGCCGAGTCTTTCCTTCTCCAAAAAATTCATTATTTCCTACAGTCAGCTGAACATAAAAGATCTTGGGCATTGGGCAATGATACCTAAAACAAGAAAATGAAAATATTAATGTTATTTCAATAAAATCACTGTATAATCATTAAGATTTGTTTTCTTTAAAATGATGCCAACCACATAACGTACTATACCCTCTTAGCAACCCCAATAAAGTTTTAACCTCACGAATTTATTTATAAAAGATAAAACGTGAGTCAACATATCCACAGATAATAGAGTATATGCTTATCTCCACGAGAAACATATTATAGAAAACAACATTAAACATAAATTAATAGAGTAAAAATTAATTATATCATAGAAGACTTTCTGGTGAGAAGTTTTCAGTCAGATTTTGACAGAAGTGAGCCAAATGGTCTGGTACGGGGAGCCACCATAGAGGTTGGAGACAGCAAGCCCATCTAGGTGACGACACGCAGATTACCGTGCTTTTAGCAGGAGACAGCTGTGAGCAGAAACAGGAGGGGCAGAGAGACGGGGCTACCACTCTGAAGCAATGAGGAGATCAGATTCAATGTAAGAAAGAATAGGGAGTTTAAGCCAATTCTTGAGCAGAAAGTATCATAATAAAATGTATTTAAGGTGAAAATTTTTACCAGGCTTGTGTTTAACGAGACTGAGGCACGGAGGTGTGACTAGAAAAGCTGCGATGATGCAGACATGAGGGGACAAAAGGGGCTGCAAGGAAAAAGAATAAACCTGGAAGAAATTAAGAAAAAAATTAAGAGGATATGCACTAAAATCCATTGATTCAACAATTATTTATGGAGCACCTTCTATACGGTAGGGGAATATGACAATGAAAAAAACCTATTATATTGGGGAAGACAGACAAAAAATAAGATAAATATGTAGAATATTTATTATGTTACAGATACATGTTAAACAGAAAAAGGAGGAAAGGTTCAGAAGTGCCAGAAGGTGGGTTTTAGACAGGGTGGCCAGGGAGGCTCTCACTGAGAAGACGACAGCTGTGCAAAGACCTGAAAAAAGTGAGGGAGGAAACCACGCAGATATCTGGAACAGTGCATGTGAGGCAGAGAAAACACTAAGTGCAAAGGCCCTGAGGCAGCAGTGTACCGAGCGTGTTCAAGTAATTCGGAAGATACCCACTTGGTTAGAATTGAGGGAGTGAGGGAAGGAAAGCTAGGCGATGAGAAGAGATGGCCAGATTTCATAGGACCTTCCTTAGATATCACTGAAAGGATCTGACTTTTACCCTGAGGGAAATGGCCAGCCAGAGAAAGTTTTGAGCAGGGAAGTGACATCATCTGACTGACATTTTGGAAGGATCATCTGACGTACATTGGGAACAGACTGTAGGGGAATGATGAAAGAAGCAAGCAGATCTATTAGGAGGCTGCAGCAATAATACAGGGGAAAGGTAACAGTGGCCTGAACCAGGGCTGCAGCAGTAGAAGTGGTGAGCAGCAGCTGGACCCCGGATGAATTTATGGGTTTACTCAAGGACTACCTATGGAATATGAGAGAAGAGTCAAGATGACCCCAGGGTTTCTGACCTGAGCAAATGGAAGATGGAGCACCCATATACTGAGCTGGTGAAGACTGCAAAAGGAATGAGTTTGTTGGGGGTGGATATCGACAGCTTTGGTTTGGAAATATTAAACTATTCAGCCTCTTGGACATCCAAGTGGAGATGTCAAAGGAACAGTCAGATTTATGAGTCTGGACTCCAGGAAAGAGGTCCAAGGTGGAGATAAAACTTGGGAATCATCATGGGGCTGGCCCACTGGCGTGGTGGCTAAGTCCTCGCACTTCGCTTCAGCGGCCCGGGATTCACAGGTTCAGATCCCCGGTGTGGACCTACGCACTGCTCATCAAGCCATGCTGTGGTGGCATCCTACATACAAAATAGAGGAAGATGGGCACAGATGCTAGCTCAGGGCCAATCTTCCTCAGCAAAAAGAGGAAGACTGGCAACAGACATTATCTCAGGGCCAATCTTCCTCAAAAAAAAAAAAAAATTAGGGAATCATCAATATATAGACACGGAATTTAAAGCCACAAGACAGTGAGAACTCAGTGGGAGGGAGTGAAAGGAAAACCAGGCAAGCATGGCATCCTTCCTGAAAGCCAAATGGGAAAAAGTACATCTAGGAGGAAGGAGGGAGTGATTGTGTCAAATGCTACTCAGAGGTCAATAAAATGATGACTGAGAAATATGACCCTTGAATTGGGCCATTTAGCAAAACTAATAGGATCGATTTTGATGGAGTAGTGGATTCATAACTGTAATGCTATAAAATTAAGTTAAAAACCACTCCAGTGCTGAAAACTGTGTGTTTCCAAGAAAAGAGCAGTCCAATCGAGGTCCTACTAAGTTTTAGATGATTATGGGACATCTAAGTGGCTGTGTTCTACAGTCAGCCTGAGATAAACTTGACAGAGCCCACCGTATAAGAACTCACCAGGCAGACGGGACTAATCAGTGCAGGTTTACTGAAGGTGAAGGACTAGAAATGTACATCGGTACTGAAGATGCAGATTTGGGAGGCCATAATTGAAACCACGTGAGTGGATAAGCACCTGGAAAGGGTAAGTGTAAAGGAACCAAGAAAGAGAGCCCAAGGCTAGATCTGATTAATGCCTATGATCAAAAGGCAGGGAAATAATAGACAGCAGTGAAGGAGATGAAAGAGGGTCAGAGTCAGAAAAGAAATTACAGCACGATGTCAGAGAAAGGATAATCAACAGTGTCAAAGGTAGTGGAGAAATCCAAGGCATGAAAAAAAGAAAAACATCACTGTTTTAAATTCCTGAAGTCAATTTTCTTGGCCCACAGTTTTCTATCAATTTGCTTTAAGACAAAGTATTTTAAAAGTGTTTTATTATATGTCATATGTTCTCATTTTGGCAAATATAAAAAAGTTAAAAGAAGAAAAAAATCACTTATTGTAAAAGACTATTTGTGGCATGCAAAGACTAAAAAAGCATTAAAAACCACAATCTTTTCTGCTCTTTGATTACAATAACTGGTGTAGTAAAGTGCACAATTTCCTATTACCTATTTTATTTTAGATCTCTTTAATGCAGAAATTTTGATAGACTGATATGATGAATGCAAGTTATCTTCACTTTGTGTCCACAAAATTCAGTTTTCTCACCTCCACAGAATTTTATGCATATTTTTAACTGGTTCCACTGTAAAACTTTAAAACAGACAACCTGAAATCAGAAATTTACTTCTGGACTGAGATCTTATATGGCAAGCTGAGCAAATGTTTACAATTAATTATACACTTCTGAAAGTAGAGGTCCACAACTGGAACGCTAACAGACCTTTAACTACGGTAGAGGGAGCGGGCGCCACTATAATCACCAAGGCCTGCTGACAATTACAAAACTCATTTTGGTTTGCCACAGAGACAAACAAAATTTCTGTTCATTATAACTTTACTGGAATATGATGTCATAACACATAACCATACTGAAACAATCTGCTGATTTTCTGACCAAAATATTAATTGCACACTAAAGAGCCCTTGGGGCCTCTTCCTTTTTAGTCATCAAATATGGCTCTATGTATGAGTATGTGTGTGCATGTGGATACATATCTATACATAAATTATATCATATAAATATCAGAGGGAAAATTGGGTATGTTGTATTCTGAACACAAAAAAAGTAGAACATTCTAGCACTAACAACAGGAAATACCGAGACCGGACGCCTGACTAGTCTCATTCAAGTTTCACTCCATCCTCTTACTTAACAATGATTCTTAATAATCTACCCCACATGGCTTGAATACCTTATATATCACATCTCCTCACATCATCATGACAATCAAGATTAACCAGAGCACTCTCATTAATGGCACCCAGATTGAACTACAGGAGAGATGGTACAGAAGGTTTTTTTGTATGTAGGTCCTGTTCTCTAAATGTTTATTTCCTTTGGTAAAGAAACACTCAAAGTTTACTAACTTTAACGGTTAACATGTTCTATTTAATGGAGGTCCTTTTTCTATTTTTATTTACTTTAAACATTAAGATCATTTTTCTATTTTTATTTACTTCACACATTAAGCTCATTTTTGGTAAGGTACTTATAATAAGTGATGTACATATTCCTACAAATTAGTATGTATTTACCTAACCTTGCATTGTTATTCTCGAAAGATTTTTCTCAATTAGAATTTTGTGGTCAATGCTTAGATCCCCATAGTGATCACTGGTAAAGATGAGCCATGAACACTCACCCAATCAAACTATTCAAGTTTCAGGGTTGAATGGCTTGTACCCACAGCCTCCACGGTGTATTTTGCAAAGTGTGATCCCACTTTTATCAGATAATCATCTTAGTTCTTGTTAAAAATGCGGATTCCTGTGCTCCAACCCTGATCTGCTGAATCAGTCTCTGGGGATGGAATAAGAATCTGCACTTTCACAGGTCTCCCTGGCAAGTCTTTGCACACTAAAAGTCTGCGAGCCACTGCTCCACGATAGTACCACATCCTACGACATGGTTTACGAGACTTGACCATTACTTCAAAATCCACGCAAGCAGGGGACCACAGACATTCCTTGTGGCACCAGGGTTAGGTTTCTTACATTTCTTTCTCATTTAATCCTCACAGCAGCCTGGTGAGACAGATGTCCCCGTGGTCACCTCGACAGGTAACAAATCTCCCCAATAGAGTTGCTGGGAGTCAAACTCAAATCAGCCTAACTCCAGAGCTCAGGAAACTCTTAAGCAGTCTCCTAAAAATCTGCCTTCTTCTCTTCCATTTTTGTTCATATTTGTTTATTAAACAGGCTATGTCCTTGGCAGGCCAGAGAACCTAATGCAAAGGTCCTTTCTAAACCCAAGATCCACTGCTAGACTTCAGAGGTGTTTCACGGCCTAGCTGCTAAAACAAACAGAACCCCATGACGAAATGCCAAGCAGGATCAGAAACAGACACACCTGAGTGACCTGTCAAGAGTGAAAAGTCAGAATAATGGGCATCATGTGCCACACTGCCTAACAACCTAAATTTTATAAAGGCTGCTTATAAGGCCTT